ATAAGTACCTGGCTCCTGCCATTGGATCAGCACGGTGCGCTGGCTGCAGCGCACTGGCCGCGGCGGCCACTGGAGGGTGAACCAATGGCAAAAGGAAGACCTTTCTCTCTCTCTCACTGTCCACTCTTCCTGTCAAAAAAAAAAAAAAAAAGGACGGCACAGCACAAGATGTCCTGTGAAAAAGCATTTCTGGGACCAAGTCCACCTGAGAGGAGTGATGTTAATGTAAAATGGGTTGCATGGGTTGCATTACCAGTGAGTTTTCCAGAGTCTTTAACATACTCTTTGCTCACTATTGCTCTACAATGTCGCTCAAAAGCACTATGGTCCACGTTTTTTTTTAAGTCATGAAGGCCTTTGATCATTTTTTTCCAACAACAACTTTTTACATCTCACAGAACAGTGTATGTGCTTCGAACATAGTTTGGAAAACCATACATCAAAGGACAACTGACCGTCTCTGCTTTCCTTTGCACAGCAGAAGCTCTGTTCACATGCTACCAATGCCTGCTCCTCTTACCTCACTGACTTCTATTTCTCTTGTTCCATCCTGGATCTATCCATTTCTTCCCACTTCCACTGTGGCCTTTCTGACCCAAGACACTGTCATCACCATATCTTCCCCTGCTGCCCTACAACACACACACCTCCTTTTTTCTCTCTCGCAGCTTTCTAACTGATTTCCATGGTTGCCCTGGTTCTGCTCCTGATTTTATTGTAACCCTGTCTCCAGAAAGCACCCAATGGTCTTCAGAAACTTTGACAAGGTCCTTGATAGTTTAAGATACTACAGAGTTGTTCCACTGCACTTGCCTTAATCCAAAAACCTTAAATTGTTCTACAAAGGCCTTCACAAATCGCCACTGACGCACTCATGTCACTGCACGTTCTCTTCCTATCCTGCAGCACAATGCCTTGGCACCACCTGTTGCCTCTGTTCAGCATACCCTGCCCTCGCATCATCACTTTACTGTCCCCTTGTGTGTCTCAGCTCCATTATCCATCACCTTCTTGGGGAGGCTGCCCCTGACTGCTCCACCTGGAATAGTTCCTCCATCTCCATCACTCTTGTACTCAACACAGTCAGAGAGCACTTTCCCCAGGTACTCTTTTATTGCACAATACCTTAGAGAAAGGGCCCAGTTCACCTTGTTTACAGGTATATCCCAAGAATTCCTAACAGTGAGGGGCATAAAATAGACACTCAACAAATACTTTCTGAATGAATGAATGTTTTCCCAATTAGATTTTGAGTTCCCCTGGAGCACAGACTGGCTTATACTCCTGCAAGTCTCAGTCATGTGATGCCAAATGTTTCTGAAACTATTTGCTGTAAAATGAAGATAACAGTAAGCACTTCACAGATGCACAATGAAGACTAAGTGAAGCTTATTTTGTGCCTGCTGAAAGTACCTGGCAAATGGCACACATGGGGCATAGCAGGTTAAGTCACCACCTGTGACACCAACATCCCACATGGGTAGCAGTTCCTGTCCCAGATGCTCTACTTTTGCAAAAGATCCTTGCTAATGCACCTGGGAAAGCATCATAAGATGGCCCAAGTTCTGGGGCCCTGCATCCCCATGTGGGAGATCCAGAAGAAGCTCCTGTCTTTGGCCTGGCCCAGCCAGCCATGGCTGTTGCAGTCATTAGGGGAGTGAACCAGTGGATGGAAAATTCTCTCTCCCCCTGTAACTCTGTCTTTCAAATAAATAAATCTCTTTTTTCCAAAAAAAGGCAATAGTTGAAAAAAAAAAAAGCTACACATGAATGAGTTTCAGTTCCATGTCAAGATTCCTAATTCAGTGCCTAGCACATAGCAGGTTCTCAATAACTGATTCCTGGATAAATGAATAAATGAACTAAAACAGTTTCCTAAAAATTCTGCAGCCAGTCACAAAGGAGGGTATTTCAACAGTGTATGGAAAAATAGAATTAAAATATAAGTTTATTTTGGTTCAAAAACTTTTGAAATCCACTTATAATTTTTTCATAATATACATTTTCCATGAAATTTTAAGACTTTATGTATTTATCTATTTTGAACAGTAGAGAGACACAGAGAGCTATACATACAGTGACAGAGAGATATCTTTCATCTGCTGTTTCACTCCCCAAATTCCACAACAGCTGGGGCTGGGCCAAGTTGAAGCCAGGAGCCAAGAACTCAGCCTGGGGTCTCCCACATGGTGACAAGCATCCAGCTATTGAGTCATCACCGTTACTCCCTAGGGTCTGCATCAGCAGGAAACTGGAAAGGAGACTGAGCCAGGCATCAACTCCACCCACTCTGATATGGGATGAAGGTGCCCCAAGGAGCAACGTAACCACTGTGCCAAACACCTGCCCTTTCCGTGAATATTTTTAAGATCTGTCAAAAAATGTTTGCATCAAAATCAACTTATCTTTTAATTCTATTTTCCATGACTTTTTGAAGCACCATGCACAGGGAAGTCTGCCTTGACCCTTCCATGTGGGTGGTGCAATCCAATGCTCCATACAGAGATGGGAAGCTTCAGCATGGCTGGGGTTGGGGAAGCATTCTTTCCTGAAGCTTTCAAAGGTCAGAGAAAGCCACTACTCTGAATAGAGTCCTGTCTGTGAGCAGAGGAATGGACAAAACCTTGACTGAATTCCGGTTACATGCCAGTCACCACACGGAGCTTCCTGTCCTTGCAGATCCAGCATCCAGTGGGGAAAACAAACATACAGTTACAGTAGGGTCTGAATGCATGCTGTACGAGGTGCCACAGGAATCAGGAAATGCTTCCCGGAAGACGTGATGCCTAGGCTAAGAGTGAAAAATGGGGAGGCCTTAGAAGGAAGGTGAGAGAGAGGGTAGATTCTGGCCAGAAGGGATGGAGCCTTTCTGGAAGTTCCAAGGAAGAAGAAGGGTGTGGTAGGGACAATGAGAAGGGCTCTGGCTTAGGCAATCTGGGGGCTCACAGGCCCAGCCATGTGGTGTGCTATCTGAACGCTCCACGTGACTGACACCAGGCCTGTATAGCCTGCCTTTAGCAAACCTCTAATTCCTACCAGTTTCAGCCTCTCCTCTGTGTCATCTGCTCTACCATCATAAAGTATCTGCTGTCAAAGGCTGAGGCACGGATGGCAAAAACTTCTAATGAGAGTGTGTGAGTGTGGGTATGTGTTTGTGTACAGGCATCCCTGGGGGGTTCTTGTAAATGAAGAGCTCACTTCAATGACCCTATTGTGGTAATTAATACACTCCCTAAGCAGACTGTGCTGCTGCAGGAAAGATAAGCAGAGCTCAGACACGGGCAGATTTCATGCCAGGAGACGTGTGCAGTCCTTGGAAAGTATAGAAGGTCCTTGAAGTATGGCGAGTGTGTGCAAAGGGGAAGGCTGCTGTACACAGGAGGCTTTGTATGTTGCTCTGGAGCTCACAAAGCATTTTCATATTCACAATCTCATTGACTGTTCTAAATGGAAAAAAGTGGGGCCATACAGGAAGATGCCCCTCAAAGTAAAAGACAGAGATTGTTCTTGTAACAGTTAATTTCCACATATCATTATTGATGGTGGGCATGTGGTAGCAGAAGGTAGAGCCTCCAGAAGGAGCAAGACAGGGATTCCTCTCCATTCCTGTCCACTGGGAAAGAAAGAGGATTATCTAGTTCAGAATGGGAAAATATTGGTAATGCCCCTCGGACACTATTGGGGGGGAGGGGAAGAGAGAGAGAGAGAGACAGAGACAGAGACAGAGAGAGAGAGAGAGAGAAAGAAACTGATTGATTTAACCATCTCTGGCATACCAGTCTCATTGTTACAACATTCTCAGTGGATGTAGACATGGGTCATCAAACAGTAACCTATAGACCAAATCTGCCTCCTGCCTGTTTCTGTAAGTAAAATCTTACTGGAAAATAGTTGTCTTAGTCCATTCCCTGCTGCTATGATAGAATATCACTACTAGTCAGCTTTGAGGTGCTACAACAAAGTGCCTGAGGCAGCAAACTTTTCAAAGAGAAAAGGTTTATTTACTTTATAGTTCTGAAGGTTCAAGGGCATCATATCTGCACTGATTTAGTTCCGGCAAAGGCCCTCCCAGCTGCAGTCATATCATAGCAAAGATGCATGTGTGTGGAAGAGCTTATGTTATAGAATGGAAAGTGAAAGGTGGGGGTAGATCCCACAATTCCTTCTGGGAGTAAACCCCCAGTGACTGAAGGACCCCCCACCATCTCCAACCGCCTAAAGCTCTGATGACCTCCCAAGAGTGGCCTGGAGACTAAGCCTCTAACCACTGCTATGGTTTGGATATGATATGGCCCCAGAACTCACACAGCACTTCAAACCTCAAAGTCATAAGTTAATGATACTAAGAGGATAGAAACTTGGTTCAAGTACGTTTAGAGGATACAGGGTCTCTGGGAAGTGGCTAAGGTTAGATTAAGTCATTAGGATGGAAGCTCCATGATTGAATCGTGGTGGCTTTCTAAGGAGACAGAGACTGACTGACTGACCGACCACAGAGTGATGGAGATAGACAAACATGAGCATCCACCCCCTGTCTCTTGCCATGTAATGACCTCAGCCATCTTAGGACCCTGCCAGAAAGAACATGAACACCAGAAGCAATGGGGCCTTCTTTATATGGGACTGTGGTCCTCCAGAATCATAAGTCAAAATAAACCTCCTTTCTTTACAAAGTTAAGCTGCCTCAGATATTTCGTTACAGTTATGAAAAGCTGACTAATACAATCACGGACTTTTGGAGGACAGCCAAGTCAATACCCAAACCACAGTAACCGCAGATTAGATCATTTATAAAGGAAATAAACTTACTTCTCACAGCTCCGCAAGTTGGGAAGTCCAGTATCAAGAGGCCAGCAGCCAGTGAGGGCCTCCTATTACATCATAATAAGGCAGAAGGCATCACATGGCAATAGAGCATAAAAACATGCAAATTTACCTCTCTCTCTCACTCTCATTCTTGATCTTGCTCTCCACCCCCCCCCCCCGCCCCATAATAAAGCCACCAATTTCATCATGGGAGCTCTACCCTTATGACCTCATATAATCTCAATTAGCTCTCAAATACCTGACCTTCAAATACCATCACTATATGAACTTAGGGATTTTGTCTCCAATGCATATACTTTTGGGGGGCATATTTCAACCACAGCAACAGTCAAGTCCATTCACTTAGGGGTTGTCTAAAGCACTTGCACATCACAGTAGCAGAGGTGAGTAATTTTAACAGAGACTCTAAACCCACAAAGCCTAAAATATCTACTACTGACCTCTGCTGACATTGATGTAGAACACTGCACAGCAGCAGACCTGTTGACACTCTGTCAATAACCACTCTTAATTCTTCTCCCTGGTCACCCGCTATAATAGGTAAGGCTGATATAAGTCAATATGTATTGTTTCACCTGTACCAGGTAATCATGGTTGGCATCCACTGTGATTGGACTATATCCATTCCCACTTATTGTTAAAAAAAAAAAAAAAACCAGCAGCACCCTAATGACAAAAGCTAGACAGGTAAATATTCAAAGTTCCTTACATTTAAGTATGGCTAGAAGTCTCAGTTATAAGAAATAAAACAGAAGTATAAACCCAATGAAAGGATTCTAGATGTGTAAGTCTGCTGAAAGCTTGATCTTTAGCTTTTCCTCCTTCTTCCAGGAAACTGACTTAGCCTGGTACTAAGAGTTATTTTGTGAACAAGAGGTAGGACAACAAGAGCCCAGGTCTCTGGAGGCATCTTTAAACATCAGAACCAATGCTAACAACAGCTGATGTCTGGAATTCATGGGTAAGGAAAATAAAACTGTTTAAGTTGGGAGTCATGATTTATGGCTATACATATTCCTTTCTGATACAGCAGCCAATGACTTCAAATGTTTCAGGCTTCATTAACAAGGCCATTGCTATGGTGAGATGGCCTCATCAAGTGCCTCCAACATACATGAGACTCACATAGTCACTGGATCTGCTTCAGTGCTCACTGCACAACTTTTGATTTGAACTTACCCGATGAGTGGCTGAGTCAGGCACAACAATTTTAATCCAGTTCTGCCACTGTCTTGCCCTCAGTCTCCAAGTAGCCCTCTTGCTATCTCTAGATTTTCAATGTCTTCCTCTGCAAAAATAAAGAAACTAGACTTTGATCTCATCTTTCTTACTGTTCTATCATTTTATAATTATTTAACTCTAAAACTGTATAAAGAAAGAATGAGGTGAAAGCTGCAAACGAGCATTAAAATAAGCGATGAGGGACGAGTGCTGTGGCACGCTGGGGTAAAGCACCATTTGGGATGCCCGCACTCCATATCAGGGTGCCACTCTGAGTCCCAGCACCTCTGGTTCCAGCATCAGTCCATGCAGTTCAACTTTCTGCTTGGGAAGCAGCAGACAAGAGCTCAAGTGCTTGGTACCCTGACATACCCACGTGGGAAACTGGAATGGAGTTCCTAGCTCTAGCCTGTCTCAGCCCGGGCCATTGTGGGCATTTGTATATGGAAGATCTCTGTCTGTTTCTCTGACTTTCAAATAAATGAAAATAAATGAACGTTTGAAAATAAAACAAAATAAGCTAGACGCTTGGCTGGTGACCAGGGCAAAAAAACAAAATATCTAATTTTTTGATAAGAAGAAAAGCACAAGTACAAAAGAGGGACAATTCTTATTGGTACAAAATTCAAAGGACTTTAGAAGTAATACAAAGAACGACCTAAAGGATAATGACCAGTGAACATCTAAAGTTTTTTTTTCCAGAAAGCCCCAAACCAGCAGTGTCACACTAGCATACTCATTAGCTCCTCAATGGACAGGTCCTCTACAATGGATATAGATGACATGTGTATGTTCCAATATTATTCTTTGCTGCTAACATAAAAATGATAAACATCATTTGGTAAGTAATGTTTGTCAGTAATGGACACCAGATATTTCTACTTCTGTCTCCCAAAACTTAGAGGCGTCCCTTTCTAGCAAAAGAATAGTGTTGCCTGTACCAACTAACCATGTTTTAGTCTCCTGTGCATTTGGTGAAGGAGACAGAATGAGAATAGTTGCCCCATGTGGTAAATGATGAAATGAAGGCTCAAAAAGCTTACGTGGTAAGAACGTGGTTGTGCTGTTTGGTTCAGGACTGCAACTGCCCTCATCTCATCTGACTCCATGCCTGTAGCTCCTGCAGAGAACATTACCAAGTCTTCAGAGCCAGGCTCTGCTCACGTCCACACCCAGGAGTTTCTGGCAGGTACCACTCTCTTGAATGATCCAATGCCTCACCAAGTGACTTCCAAGCAGCAGCTCCACTTTATTTCTGTTTCGACCGCTGTCACACCAAATCAATGAAGCTGCAACATATTATCTCAAATATATGGTCCTGACAGCAAGTTCGATGCTTTACAATAGCCTCATTATGGCTGATTTTAAAAAATTAAGATTACAAAGAAGAAAGTGAAACAAACTAGAAGGAAAAGGTATGAACTGAGTCCCGGTCCCTGGAATCAATAAAATAAACGTGGTTCACTGTGAGCCTCTGCATCTGAACCTGATGCTGAAGAACAAGTTAGCAGATCTTTGCTCTGGGGACTGAAGGCAGTGTCCTCAGGCTCCCTTATTCACTCACTCAATCCTTCAGCAACACACAGGAGCAGAGGTAACCAAAACATTTGTCTGGAGAGGCAACAGCACATTCAGCCTAAGACCAAGGACTGGGAGATGGACAGATCATTTTTAAAAATCATCATAATATGTAATACCTTTTAAGAGATAAGTGCATGCCAGTTACTGTCCTATGTTCTTTATATGCATTAATTCATTTAATCCTCATAATCACAATTATGTAGGTATAATTTTTGTTTCCTTTATACAGATAAGAAAACTGAGATGCCAAGAAGTTAAGAAATTCAGCAAATGAACAGACCTATCTGTGCTGGGCCATACAGCTCGAGACAGCACACTCAGACACAGCACCATGAGAACTTTCTGTTCTGAGGGCCATGTTATGCATTGTCCAATACAATAGCCATGAGATACATTTGACTAATTCAATACTAGCCATTAGCCTCAGGAGGCTATTAAGTTCTTGATTGTATATGACCAAAGAACTGAATTTAAATTTAAATAAATTTGAATTTAAATAGCTATGCTTGGCCAATAGCTATTGATTGTACAACACAGCTCTAGACTGCAAAAATGCAGACAGTAACAGACAGTAAGACTATATGCATCTTAGCTTCTGACACTCATACACAGTAAATGTCTGTAATCTGCTCGCACAGTACTTGTCATATAATCTCAGTCTGTAGGAGCTACTATTTTAACAATAGTAAGTATTGGACAAATATTGAGCTGCAACCTCCTATCTGAATGAAAAATCTAAAAAGCTCTGAAAATCAAACCTGGTGTGCACATCCACACATATATATGTACAGGTATGATTTTAGTTCATTTTGGCAGCAAAATCTAAGCTTACTTGGAGTAATTTGGTCTAAAAACTCACCTGAGCAGGTAGAACACTACTTATAGCACTGTTCATCCTATATTATCTATTTTTACATCAGAAATATTAACGTGTTTAATGGCAGGAGCTGTCCCGATCCTAGCAGGGGGTATCACCTCATAAGTAATACATGTATCACACTGCCTTTCTCAGACTGGAAACATTCTAAAGCTCTGACACACACCTGATCCCCTGGTTTCCAATAAGGGATCATGGACCTACATTTGCATTTTTGATACTACACTAGCTATGAAGAACAGAGCAGAGAGGACAAGGTCTTTCCCGGAGACCTGAATCCCCACCTGCAACTGCTATTGGAGAAGAAATCAGGTCCTTCCCTGGGCAGACCAAAGTAGAGATGGAACTGGGGCTGGCTCAGGCAGAGTTCTGACAACCAAACAAGGCACACGCAGCAGCTCTGTTGCTGGGTCAGCCATGCTTTCAGCCGTCGCCTCATGAATCTGTTCAACACATTTACTTAAACAGTCCTGCAGGGAAAGGCATGGTGCTTGTATTGATTTAGTGAGTGAGCTGCTGGGATCCAGGTTGATGTTGCAGAGAACAGCTACTCCCCTGTGTACATCCAGCCTCTACATCTTCACATGGGAATAATACCTTCTGTTACAAATTATTTTTTCATTTGAAAGGCAGAGCACAGAGATCTTCCATCCAGTGGTTCACTCCTCAAATGCCCACAACAGCAGGGGTTAGGTCAAGCCAAAGCCAGAAGCCAGGAACTCCATCCACCTGGGAGGTAGGGACCCAAGTCCTTGGGCCAGCATGTGGTGCCTCCCAGGTGCATTAGCAGCTTACTGGATTGGAAGTGGAGCAGTCAGAACTTGAACCAGGCACTCTTACATGGGAAGTAAGCATCCCAAGCAGCAGCCTAATCCACTGCACCACTACACCCACTCTGGAAATAATTTTTATCTCCTTAAAACAATCAAAGGGACACCACACAGCTGGACAGCATATGCAGTGGCCCATGGTGGATGCTTCTTTTCTTCTTGTCTAGCTGTCCCTCTGCTAACACGTCAATGGCACTAAAACACGGTGACATTTTCCTTTCAACTTCAGCTGCTTAATAATTCTTAAGTAAGAATGACGGAATCCAATATCAGAATCAATGAAGAAGAGCCATGTGGCCCTTCTTAATCAAATTCTAAAGCCATGATGACATCACCTGAAGCCACATCAGGGGAAGCATAAATGGGAGAAGAAGCAATAGCAGGGGGTACTTTGCAGAATTACCTTCTTCAGAGAAGCCAGAGCCAGGCAAAAATGGTCTCCGTCATTAACGATAGGATATAATTCCAATTTCACAACTTAATTATGACTGGATGAAAAGGACAGAGTGAAAAACTAGGTGTAAGGTAGGGAGTTTCATATCGTTAGGTTCCCTGACACCTCATTAGGGACTTTGAAAAACATTCTGCTTCCAGGCAATTTTGCTACTATCTCGATTTTTTCCCCCGTTTATCTGGCTCCATTTATTTGACTTGACACAAGTAGGAAAATGGGATCTTTGATTTTTTTTTTTCAGCTCATCAACTAGCACTTCTAGCTCCTCACTTCAAGCCAAAGGTTTTTTGTCAGATTATGATCACTGATGACACAGGATCAGAGCTGCCAGAGTAGTTCACCCAAAACACGAGCTGTATCATGTCACACCCATGTTCTAAATCTTCAGCGGTCCCCCATTGTCCATAGGATCAAGTTCAAAAAAACAAAAGCAGAGCATTCGAGTGCTACCTACTTTTCAGATCTCATTGCTTATCTCTTTCTTCTAAAATGTCTCATCTGATTATCACAGGGCTACCTAACATTCCCCCTGGGCCATGACAAAGAATTATGATTTCCACAACATCGCCATCTTCTTCCTCTATTTCCTCTCCTACCCATGAAAATGGCACTCATTCGTATAGATTCAAGTCAAAGATACAGTTCTCTACCAAAATTTGCTTCATCACAATATTCTGGTCACTTCTCTGCACTGCAGGGGCTCTCATCACTAGGGCATTCTGTCTTGAATAATAACCAATGGCACACGTTTGCTGCCCTGCCTGATCCTCAGCTCTGTATTCTCCATTAGTACAACACACTACATAGGTATGTCCCAATCCATTGTGAGAGATGTCAGAAGTACTTGTTATCGCTGATATTAAACTGGCCCAAAATACTATTAAAGTCAAAGGCTTGTAGTCCTTTTATTTTTAACAATATCCTTCTCATTCCCTTCCTTGCTCTGTTGGGAAGAGGAGGAAAGGGTCAAGTTAAAGTTAGAATATAAAGAACTGTGCATTCCTATGTGTTCTTCCTGAGTGTGTATCTTACATGTACTGAGAAATAAAGAGAAGGGTTGAGAAGTTCTACTCTGCAGCACCACGTCATGGAACAATATGATATATCCATAGAAGACAAATGACTGTATTCACACTCTGGTGCCTGGAATTCTGTCATTTGACTTTGATGTACAGCATTGCTCTTTGCACCAACACCACAGCCAACAAGTCTGCCAGTGATGGTGGAACCAAAGCAAATGTCTTGGTATCCTAGGCACTATGCACTATTCATTTATTTGGGGATTCTCCCACCACTGCGTTAACATTGCATGTTAAGCTGACTGTGGAACTGAATGAATTATTGCAACATGGCAAAGGGATCTGGAGTCGGTAGATGTGGATGTCTTTTCCTGCCAATTTTTTACTGTCACAAAAGAGCAGGGTGCCTTTGAGTCCCTTCTTTGAGCCTTCCATTTCCTCAATAGTAAAGCAGTAAACTTTGAAACCGCAGATCAAACTCCACTCTGCGGCTTTATGATGAATCAAATCAGATGATAGACACTGAAAAGTGATTTGTAAACCATGAAACATTGTGTGAATGAGAGTTAATAGTTATTAGCATGAGGAGCTAGCCAAGGAGAAAACGTATCTCTTATCTGAATCCTTCACTGTAGAAAGAACACCATGGCAAAGAGAATAGGCTCTGGAGGTGGACTGCCCTGTGTTCAAGACCTGTCACACCACTTACTGGCCAGATGATCTGGAGTAAACCACACAACCACTCTGAGCTTCACATTCTTATTTATAAAACAGGGATGACTAGGCCTTTGTGACCATATTAAAACTTAATGCATTGCTTAAGGACAGAGATATATAAATGATAAATCACAGTACAACAGTTTAAACATTGTACCTGATATACTACAGAAATTGCAAGGACAGCACCAAGGAAGGAGGATGCTTCATCCAGGAGCTGATTTGGAGAATGAATGCAAGGCTTCCAGAAAGAGAAGGTAGGGGAAGACTATTCCAGGAAGAAGGAACTGCAAGTGCAGTGCACAACCTAAGTGAGAAAATTTTGAAATCTCAATTTCTCTTCATTCTGCTTTAGTATGTGTGTGTGTGTGTGTGTGTAACAGAAATAAAAATTCGAGGGGACAGTGCTGTGGCGCAGTGGGTACGCCCGGGCCTGAAGCACCGGCATCCCATATGGGTGCCAGTTCGAGTCCTGGCTGCTCCTCTTCCAATCCAGCTCTCTGCTGTGGCCTGGGAAAGTAGTAGATGATGGCCCAAGTCTTTGGGCCCCTGCACCCATGTGGGAGACCCGGAAGAAGCTCCTGGCTCCTGGCTTCGGATAGGCACAGCCGTTGCGGCCATCTGGGGAGTGAACCATCGGATGCAAGACCTCTCTCTCTCGCTCTCTCTTTCTCTCTGCCTCTACTCTCTCTGTGTAACTCTGACTTTCAAATAAATAAATAAATAAATCTTTACAAAAATTCAGCTTTTATTCTATTTTTCTGAGATATCCTGAAGGTGAATGAGATTCTGACTTCAGAAAACAGATTACTCCAGGGCAAGAAGGAATATACACATTCAGTATGGTCATCAGTGCTGGCCTCGGATTGGTCACCAAGGCAAAAATCTGAGCCAAGGGAGACAGGGAAGACTCCCTAAGGCTGACAACAGTCCTGTGACTCTCCCCACTGCCCATAGCCATGTTTCCTCAGGACGGCTGAGAGACACCGAGACACTGGCGAGGTAAGGCACTGGAGCTATGCAGCTTCAGTGTCTCTTGAGCCTTCCCAGTGCATGTTTTCTTAAGTTAAGCTCCACTTGAGAGCATCTTTCAAACCAGAGCCACAGAAAGAATGATAAACTATAGCAGAATTTTTCAAGCGAAAGCAATTGGTGATGGGGGTGTGCGAGAGAGAGATGAAGAATAGCTAAGTAGGTCAAAAGGAAAGTATTTTGGGAGCTCTCGTGTTCTATCAAACGGAAACATTTTACGTTGACAAAGCTCTTGAGTTTCCGGCAGCCTTGTAATTTACCCTGTATAGAAGAAATCGGCACCTTTTTCTGTGAAGTCATACAGTGTTGAGTGACAAGACCTGTTTTGAACCCAGGTGTGTCCTTTTCTAACTGTGTAAAACTTTAGGCAAGGTATTTGTCATCTCTGCTCCTCAAATTACCCACGCAGGAAATTAGGGACTCCAACTAAGTGATTTGTTTTTCTTCTTCTGGATCGTGTTTGTAAATCAAGCCTCAGTTTTTATCTGAGATCCAGTGCCAAGCACTGGGGAAAGGGAACGAAGGAGCCATTTATAAGAGTCAACTGGGCAGTGATTCAGGGAGAGGAATACAGAGGCCAGGCAGTCCCCAGACATCTGCCAGGTGTAGTATAACATGCTAGCATCTTAATACTCATGTTTTCATTCTAACTATCAGAGCAGCCCTGTGAAGTGTCGGAGTGGGAGGGATCGTGACCACCTGCTCCCACATCTCTGAGTCCAGAGCCAGCTGAGAGATGCATACACAGGCCAACAGAGATCAGACTCCCAGCATTATAACTGACTGATGGATCAAGATGGCTGCTTGGTAAGCAAGGAAGGCACAGGTCCCCATCCTTTGGGGGACTTGCGGGAGCCAGCAGAGAGACAGCAAGGGTTTTCTACTGCTACTCTCCCTGCCCAAGGATGGGATGGGAGATCCCAAACATGGACCCTAACAGAGGATAAGTGGGCCCTCCACCGACAGGATTAGCCACATTCACAGAGCTACATGGGGTCACCCCAAATGCCCTGAGGGACCTAGCTAGTAAAAGGCAGAGCCAGGGTTTGTGCTCAGTCTGCCAAGCACCTTTCTCTTACCACTGTGCTGCATAAAGCTGTATGCGAACACACATATACACACATGTGTGTGCACACATGCACACACACACCCCTTTGGTGCAAGACAGTGTCATGAGTATCATGTGAATGGTAGAAGTGATAGATATTTTAAAACATGTAGTATAAACATCCAGGTTTTCAGGGCAACTTGTCATCACAGCATCCCAGTTACTGTGAATAAACATGTGTACAGATGTGTGTGTGTGTGTGTGCACACTACATGGTATCATCCTGTAGCAATAAGATTGGGTTGTACATAAACTGTGGGATGCAATGGTTGCTTTCAGACGATATGTCATCTTAGATGTGCATATATTACACCCAAGGCCTTATTTATCCAGATTCATAAACTCATGCAGAAACAAGCAATTACAGATTTAAGCACCAGCACTCTAAAACATTACCTTTAAAAAGATAACATTCATTCCACAATATGTTATTCTCATCCCTGCTCCCTCAAATTTGGTTTAAAAGTCAAGTCATCAATACTAACATCACTTGTTACCCTGGGCCATAATTCAGCAATGACTGAGGGATGGTGTCATGTCCGAGGAATGATAAAACCCCTGTGTTTGCAGGCCTGTGCTTTGCCAAGACACGTGTCAACCTGAGTCATACTGGGACAGCTTCTTTTTGGAATTTGCATATTTGGGATGAATTACAGGCAGTGGGCTATGTACACACAGCCACCAGATAAATGATTAGATATTGGATACATGATTTCTCCTTGGCATCTCCTCATATTTTACACAAGGAAGCGGTCTAGCACAGCAATCTAGGAAACAGACCATGCAGTCAGATGGGGTCTGCCTCTTGCAAGCCATGTGTCCTTAGACAAGTGCCTTTGCCTGTCTGAGCCTTATTTTCCTTCTCTAAAAAGCAGAAGTGATAACAGTCTCTTCCTCATGGGAGAGCATTCGGAAGGCTAAAGAGAATCATGCACATCAATAATAAGCTATGTGCCCAGCATACCCTAAGTAGTTACGCAGAACAAGCTGACTGCTATCATACAAGGTAGACAACACAGGGCTGCGATCCAGTGCCTCCCTCTGCCTGTCATTCCTCACGGCTGATTTTATTATATTCAAGACCTGGCTTTCTCGTCATTCTGGTATATTTCTACAGGATAGAAATTATTACAGAATGAAGCATTCTATAAGGTGCTTGTATTGAATGAAATATTAACTTATTCAAGGTACAAGTCTCAAAGGTCTTGAAACAAATGGCCCCAGAGGTTCAGCAGGAGTAGGAAAGGGTTTGTTGTGCTGGAATCATGTTTTTTATTTATTTGTTTGTTAATTAATACAATGACAAGAATATGAATTTTTCTTTGGTGGCAATGGAAATTCAGCATACCTTATCCTGGCTTTGTTTATTTTCCGATTTATAGAAGTACCTTTCTTTAAGAAATCTGTCAGGGCCGGTGCTGTGGAATGATAGGTTAAGCCTCTGCCTGTGGCGCCTGTTTGTGTCCCAGCTGCTCCACTTCTGACCCAGCTCTGTGTTAATGGCCTGTGAAAGCAGTGGAAGATGGCCCAAGTGCTTGGGCCCCTGCACCCACGTGGGAGACCCAGAGGAAGCTGGCACTTGGCTTCAGATCAGTTCAGCTCTGGCCATTGTGGCCATCTGGGGAGTAAACCAATGGATGTAAACCTTTCTCTCTGTCTCTCCCTCTTTTTGTAACTCTGCCTCTCAAATAAATAAATAATATTTAAAAAGAAATCTCTATGAATAGAGTGTAAAGAAAAAGCTGGTACTAATAATAATAGTCACAATACGTATAAATCACTGCACACATTTCACAGAGTGTTGCCTGCTGACCACTGTGGGATACATGGGAGGTACAATCAGCCCATTTTACAGATGGGAATAGCATAAAGATACAACTAACTGGTTCACAACACTGCTGTCTAACCCAAACACTGGGGGAGATCAATGAATGACCTGAAGTCTCTGCCATGGGCTTCAGGAGGACAGAGAAGGGACCACACTGTCACCACGAAGGAGTCAGGAAGAGGAGGAGGCAGGCAGTCGGTGCTCACGAGACTCTGGGTTCCAGTATCACAAACCCTCCTCACCCACTAGCATTCTGTGTCTCTGCAGAAAAGAGCTTTCAAGCATCAAACCCATTGGGTCCTGCAGCGAGGTCAGGCTGGCCTTTTCCCACAGGACAAGCTACATGCAAAGAAAGGGCCTCTGAAGACCCACTTGGCAGGGCTGCCTGCTGTTCCCTGTTGCTAGACTGGGCCAAGGGTCCTGCAGAGCAACAGGAAAAGCAGAAGGCAACACACCAGGCCCTGGACACTTCCAGGCCTCCCAGCAAGCCTATCCCCCAGTACTCTCAGAGGCCAGGGCAGGGAGAAGTCCTTCAAAGCTCAGCTGCAATCCACAAGCCTTCCAGAGCACTGGCAAAGTGGATCACAGCAGATGCCTAACTCCATGTTTGGAAGGGGCCCATCTTTTTTCAAAGGATTGCCGTGTTCTTCTCACCCTTGTGCAGGCAGGGATCTGTGGGGATCTGCCTGCCAGCTGCATAAGAGGCATAACCCCTGGAGGAGTGCCTCGCTTTGTGTGTCCTTCCCAGGAGTGACTATCTGACAGCACTAGGCATACAGGCTCCAGCACTGCTCTGGGAAAGCCCTTCCATGCATGGGAGGCCGAACCACACCAGAGATGCCGTCTGGAGGTGGCTGCCACCTGGACTGCTAGTTAAACTGCCCTGGCTGGTTTGCAGCCTGACTGGAGCCTGGAGCAGCAGATCCTGGGCCCGACGATGACTTCATTAAAGTGGATTAGTGTAACCTGGATATCAGTGCTGACCTTCCTGCCCTTTAATAATGTGAGCTCCATTTCTTGACCCTCTCAGAGTTCTCCTGAGGATTTTTTTGTACATTCCCATAAGCTTCTACTCTTGGAGGCTTATCTCTATTTACATACAAAAAGAGGACAGACCTTTATTAGTTATTATTTCTAATAACTGCATGTGTCACTGTCCCCTTCTTCCATTTCTGAGTCTCACCATCTAAGCTACCACAATTGGGCCTAGTTTGGCACATAAGGGCTTTCTGGTCTACTTGCACAATGACTTTTAAAGTCTCAATATTCATTTTTTTTTTAAAGAAAAAGATTTATTTACTTAAAAGGCAGAGTTATAGAGAGGACAGACAGAAAGATCTCCCTTCCACTGATTCAATCCCCAAATGCCACAATGGCCAGGCCTGGAACAATCTGAAGCCAGGAGCCTAGAGCTTATTCTGGGTCTCCCACATTGGTACGGGAGCCCAAGGACGTGGGCCATCTGTGCTGCTTTCCCAGATGCATTAGCAGAGAGCTGGATCAGAACAGGAGCAGCCAGGACTCACACAGGCACCTGTATGGGATGCCGGCACTGCAGATTGTGGCTTAACCCGCTGTATCACAGCACTGGGCTTAAGTCTCAACACTTCTTTTGGCCTACTGTGTATCTTATTCCTCTGTGTAGCTAACACTAGGCTTTTTTGTGCCTCTGTGCTTTTCAACAAGTGCTCCATTTCCTTTATTTGCCCTTTTCTTCACCTGGCCTACTCCTCTGCATCCCTCAAAACACTGCTTCAAAGTCACAATTCAAAAAATACGTGGTGTCTCCATAGCTCATCTGACCCATCTGGTTCGGACTCTGTCCTAGGAGACCCCACAGCACTGAGGACTGTCTCATTTCTCTCTCAGAGTATTCTCTGCATTTGCCTGCGTGGCCCTCTCCCAGCCTCTGCTCTCAGCTCCTGGAGAACTGGGACCCTGTTTCTGCTCTGTCACCAGCAGGTTTCCAGAGCCTGTGTGTAGTGAATGTGGCATACATGTTTCTCTCATCGATCTATTTATTTAGTAATTGATCACGGCATTGATCGATCTTTTTTAGTTGCTCAGAAGCCTTTTATCCTCATTCCAGGGTCTCAATTGTTTTGCAAAGAGAGGAAGTTACAGGACAAATGAGGAAGTTCTAAGTCAACACAAGTCACTCCTCTTGGAGCCAGCTGTGCTTGGCAGGCAGCCGCTGCAGAGGACAGCAGCTTGGTAGCACCTGTGTGTGCAATCAGTCTTGCCAGCGCAGGTAACAAGTGACGCTGCCACCTTCACCTATGCAGCTTTCAGTTCCCCATTTCGTTCTTCTCTGTCCTTTTTCCAGGCTGCCTTTCCCCGCCCTCCAGGCACACAGCCCTCACTTTCCCCAGGCTGCTCAGAATGTCAGTGCTCTGCTGCTAGCTCCACGACTGGCCAGCTGGGTGACCTTGGGCACATCACTTCCCCTGTCTGAGTCTCATTTTCCTTAGTTGTCAAATAAGATCAAATGGAAGATGATAGTTTGTGACTGAACCAAATCCTGGGAGACAGGCAATGCCTGATCAACAGGGGTAGGCCATGAAGCTGGCCTCCATGGAAAGGCCTGGAAGAGTGAGACAGACATGAGATCCGCGTGTGAAACCCACACTCCCATTGCAACGCCTGCCTTCACTCTCCAAGTCTCAGCTTTGTTGTTGAGGGTCACACAGGGCACTTGGCTCTCTTCGGCCACTGGTGCTGCACCCACAGAGTCAACCAACCACACAGGGAAAACACTGGTCAGCAAAAAGAAAAAAAAAAGTGTATTGAACACATGAAGATATTTTTCTTGCTACCATTCCCTAAACACCACAGTATGACACCTGCTTATATGACACTAGAGTCTTGCTAGGTATGATAAGTAATCTAGAAAGGTTTAAAGTGTAAGGGGTTGGGGAGGGGGTGCAGGAGTTATATGCACATACAAAACCACTTTTTGCACAGGAGATTTCTGAGGATGGTGGTATTTGAAGGGGCCCTGAGCTGCATCCCCGACAGGTAGTAAGGTGCAGGAGAACTGTACCTCCCAGGTGGGGCTGTTGAAAGGGCTGGAGGGACAATCAGTCTGACTTCTCTGTCTAAAGCTCCATGCATGCCAATGAGGGCCTCCAATATCCTAAACCACGTAGCAAGGTGCATTCCAGGAATGTGGTACTCATAGGGGTAAATGGGTGAGGCTTGGGGATAGCAAGGTTCCATCCTCCAATCAATTTAATGAACAGAATAGCAAAAGAAAATGAGGTCTCTTTACTAGGAAGGCCCTGACAGACCACCATGCACCATGAGTCTAAAAACAGTGAGCTGTTTTTCTTTTCTGCCTTACAGAAGACCAAATGAGCATAAGTAAGGAAACGCTGCCTTCAGTCAAAGAAAAGATGTGGTGTGCACATTCTGGACATCCTGAGGCCATGCAGCTGAGATCATTCTGGGGCCGGTGAGAGAAGCCTTCCTCACATTTCAGTTTCTACCCCAACTCCTTGGGGAGTCCATCTTAAGCCATGGAAGGCTGAGAGGGACCACAACTCTGAGTCAGGAGCCCTGGCTGCCATCCTGGCTCTGCCTCCAACTCCCTGTGCCATCACGAGCCCCCCGGAGACCGGACACTGGTGTTCTGCTCACTGCAGCAAAGTGTCTGCTGAGGGAAAGAAAAGGGAGGATGAGGCAGCACGCAGGTTTCCTACTGAGGTAAAGCACAGCACTGCCCAGCTCTGGGATGATCAATTCAGGAGCGGTGTCGCTCCCCCTCTTCATGGAGGAACGACACTAAGCCCTGCCTAGGCTTCATATCCGAGTCACGGCACCATTATGTCGCTCCCCCTCTTCATGGAGGAACGACACTAAGCCCTGCCTAGGCTTCATATCCGAGTCACGGCACCATTATGTCGCTCCCCCTCTTCATGGAGGAACGACACAGGACCCTGCGCTGTTCTTTCGTCTGCTCGGCCCTCCCCGGGTTTGCTGCTGGTTCTTCCCGGGTTGGCTACTATCCCTTCCACCTCCGTGGAAGGGCAGTTCCCCCTGGCCACATTCCCCACTTCCGCAGGGGAGCGGCACACCACCGGCCGGCTCTC